TTACTGTTTCTTTCCAATTTTTATGCAAAAAAGGTTGAGAAGAAAAATTGGTGTCACGAGCGGGGCTCGAACCCACAATACTCGATGCTGTACCACTCGAGCTATCGTGACTTCGATCCATGATTCACCAATTCCTCCTCTCAAACAACTGTTATTTATATTTTCCCATTTACCGCCAATACATCGTAACAACATTTAGTTGTATTACGACGTACGGCGGTAAAGGGAAACATTCAAATAACAGTCGGTTGAGTGGAGGGATTGGTGCCGGTGGACCAAATTTACTGTAGCTCCTTCCATCCACCGGGGTGTAAATCCGTGAGTTCCAGTCCAGCTCGCGACACTAATTTTTGCTCAACCTTCTTTGAATAAAAATTAGAAAAATAATGAAAACGGTAACTAATGAAATTAATTACTTGCTGTTTTTGTCAATATTGCTTATTTCAGCTGTTTATCTAGCGATTTTATCTGGGAAAGGCAGATGTATGGCTGGAAATGACAAAACGGCGAGAATTACACCAGGTTGGTAGAAAAAAGGAATTCCTCTGACAGACAAAAATAGCGAGAGTAGAAAGATTAGAATGAAATCGACCGAAGTATAGTTTCACTCGGCGCAATATAGTTGTACCGCGGTCGCCACGGGGGCTACAACGCACAGACAGTCAGACAAACGTACGCCACTTGGCAATCTCGACGCCCATTGACCAAAGGGTAAAAGGGCAGGGCAGTGAAAGGGGGTACAGAATGAACCCAGAGAGAACAGAGAAAACATTCCACCTTACCTGAGTAATTTGTTAACAAAATTTGGCTACTTTCCAATCCATCACATAAATTGTTCTCCATATACTTTTTAAAGGCAATATTTCACAAACCCTTTTCAAACTCATCCTCGGTGAATAGTGTCTGTAAAAAGCAAACGAGAGGAACAGTTTTAAAAAAGTTATTTCGTAATTGTTATTGAAATTCCATACTCTTTTTACTCGATTAATTTTTTTATTTTACGACGTAAATTGAAAAAGAGGAATAATTTTTACATTAATCAAACCTACTTTTCAATATCAGGGCGGATATATTTATGAATTTAAAGTGCTGCTTAAAAATACTGTTCTTTAAAATTTAAAACAAACTATTTTGCTTATTTCGCCAAATACAATATTTGTCAAATAAACCTGTAATCTTTTAATAATTATTTTCAATTTCAAATTGCTGCATTTTTGTTAAATTGAATAACGAATTATATACATAATAGTGCAGAGTCAAGGAAAGAGAGAGAGAACTGTTAAGATAATTAAAAATATTGATGAGCCTGGTCATTCTTGAACACACAAAAAATGCATTTTTTACTCTTCTTTTTCGGTTGTTGACTTTTTATATTTCTTGGGTTTCTTTTCAAGAACACAACCATCAAATGAAAATTTGATTTAAAATTTTGCTTACCAAACATCTAAAGAAAATGAGTTTAATGGCCGTCTAATTTCTAAAACCGAACCCAGGAAATAAAAAAATGTATATTATAAAGGTATATTTTAATTCTCAAAAATGGGTTTATTGAGGAAATGTTTATTTTACTTTTTAGTACTGATAATTTAATCTCCAAGGCAAAAGGTTGTACGTCTGACGGTTGACTATTATACCTCGTCCGTGACCAAAATCCGTTTTACCTAAACACATTTATACAGTCTGACTTGCTTTTCCTAAATTTCATCTTGTTTGCATTCTCAGTGTCATTTTACTGGAATAGGATAGAAAGAAAACCATTGCCAGCCTTTCGGCTAGTATTATTTAACAGCGTTCTCTTGAATACCTGTTTTTAAAATACACTTCTACGAGTTTTGTTAGCAACTGAATTTTAGTTCTTTCTGAAAAATACAATAAATCGGAGATGATAAGACGACTAACGCTCAGCTTTTCTGTTTGTCCACAAGTCAAATATTTAATTTTTACACATTTCATTATTTAACGTCTAATCCACAAATAAACTGATGGATAAAATTTAGGCGCCACTCTTTAATTTTAATGTATTTAGGTTTATTTACATTTTGCATACCAAAAATAGGTATTGTTATAAAAATATTACATTTAAAAAAATGTTTATAACCTAATTCTAAAAATATTGAGTAAAAGACAATAAAAAAATTAAAAACAAATAAAAATGTAAAAAAAAACGTTTTGAACCCCTTAAATGACTAGGTTTCCACTTATGGCCGTTAAACACCGTTGCATTCCCTGGTAAAGATTAACAGTAACATCCTGAGGAATTCTTTCCCGTTCATCACGAACAATTGTTCCAACTCTTTTCTAGGGTGTTAGGGCCTGTGTTTGCAGAAAATAATTATTTTGCAGGAAGTAGTAATAAGATTTATATGGTAACAAAAAGTGTTATTACTCTAATTAATAATATTTAAAAGCCTACATATGAAATTACGCCCATCTGAAGATTTTGAGTTCAATACTCACCTCATCTGTAAAGAGAACCAATTCACATATTCCCGTCAAATTAAAGCCTGACCATTTTCTGAAGTGTAGTAAGATAAGAGGTCTATGAACCGGGTGCCGGGACCTGAGGTTATTTTGATTGTACCTTTTTCTTACAGTTCTCGAAACATTTCGGAGGTTATTGTCTTATCCGTATTCTTATCTCATTTCCCGTAATGCTGCTGTTTCGTTGAGCCTAATGACGGATGAATCTATCGTCTCCCTCGTCTGTAGATCTAGACAGACCTTTTGACCGACTTCTAGTGTGAAGCCCTGTTTCTCTGAAGCTCCAAAGAACGATTCGTAGTGTAAAGTGATTCTCCTTCACGCTGCCTGTATTCTTCCTCTAATAATGTTATGGCACTGACCCTAGCACTCACTTAAATGCTTGACAGGAGCCATTGAAAAATGTTAAGAATAAGAATGATATAAAATTAAATCAAGGAAGGTAAAATATTAACTGAAAGTGATCCTTAGGTAGGCCTGCCAATAGAAGGGCAATTCGCAACTTTTTTGTGAAAATGGAATTAATCAGTACAAAAGTAAATAAAGGAAGAAGAAGGATATGTATTTACTGTTTTCTCTGACTACGATAGCTCGTACCTAATTACCTGTACCTCATGGATAAAGATAATGATTTAATTTCAAACTAAATAAATTGAGTGGTGCGTTAAATTTGTCCAGTAGAGAATTTTTTGTCCAGTTCGAAAGAATCAGACTCTTCTAAGATGAAATTTGACAAATTTGGTCGAAGTCGAGCGCAGCCAGAGGAACATGGGCGGAAACAGATTCCAACTCTGCATGAAGCACCAACTTTAGAGACGAAACTTTATTAATTAAGATATCCGATAGCGATAATAATGGCTTGCGGTTCCTGTGGGGGCCTTGTCAGGAAACTCGTCATAACCGTAGCAAACATTGAGAGAAAAGGAAAACACTCAAATCCCATGCAAAATTAATGAAAAACTAATTTGTCATTGGAAAAAGAAGTTGATAAAAAACCTTAATCAAATTGACAAAACATTACCTCAATTTTCAATAAATTATAGTTAAAGTAAACTTTTTTCTATATTTGTAAATATGTAATATTGACTGATAAAAAAAATTCTAGCAATGCCTATTTCAACAGTAGATATTTTATTACATTTTTTAAAGAAGTTTCAACCAGGATTATTTTTGAATATTAGGTTGTTCTTGATCTGAAATATAAATTTTTTCTATGATTTATATGTTGGTTGTCAACAGGATTAGGGAATAAGTTTGCAAGTGACAGTTTTCGGAAAAATCTTGTACCCAATTTAACTTTGAGAGGAAATAAAATGTATTGGTGTTACTGGATAGAATACGTTCCTTTAAGAAATTTAAAACATTTACTTTTATTGAATTTCTGTAACAATGTGTATTCCAAAGTTATTATCTATCAGTCTACTTGTCATTTTATCTAAAATAAGAAAACAATATGCGTGTGTGATGTCTGGAGAGTAAAGTAAGTTATTAGCGAGAATGGAGGGGTTCAACTCCTCACCGAGCAATATCGAGTGCTATGAGGAGTGAAAGTGACCAATTTCTTTGTTTGTGGTTATTTTTATATATGTACTGTATGTTTTTATTGTGTAATTGTCAACTTGTGGTACAAATAAGAGACTAGCCATTTCAGCATATCGACATGAAAGAGTCAGTAATAGATCGAGAGGCTCAATTGGCTGCAGGTTGAAAAATACGTGTGAAAGACCAGAAAGAGTAGTAAAACTCGCAGAGGGCCGGCAATCTTTTTAGCTGTTTGTAGCCCCTAAACGTCCCACATTAATGTTAATATACAGGATGAGATAGGAGAAGAATCGATTGAAGTAGGATATACAAGTTACCAAAATGATAATACACTTTGAGTAAAATAAAAAGGTCATGAACTGCTGAGTTGTTCATTCTGTATCAGCCACCCTGACAAATTCTCCAATCATCTACTTATGTCTTTCATTCGTTTCTAAACTCAATTTAACAAAAATTAACTTATAAAAACAAAACATCTAAATTTATTTTCGAATATGTAACAGTAAGGAAAACAGGTGAAGTTTTAAATTAATCTCTCTTTTCCACGACCCGCACTTTCCATTAATTCTTGAATAGAATTATTAACCAGTTTAATTATCATTCGATTCCATGTTTGACGTGAATTGCAAATTACAAACTACCGTTCGATAGTGTTAATAATTTATTTTTGACATTAGTTAGATTGTTAATGACGTGGAATGCCTGGGATGGTCATTTGTCAGCTCGATGATTAAGGGACGAACATAGCCCGGAATATCAAATTCAGTGAGCTCCTATCATTGTTTTGCTGTATTCAATGCCAAGGGCAAAATTAAGTATTGGTTAACAGGAAGCGACCGAAATTATTTCTCCACTTTGTCTCACGTACGGTAACTTGATTGAAGGTGTCGCCGTAATTTTGATAGGTAAGGCATTGAAGCGTGATTATCCCCACGTTCTAGGTAATAAGGATAACAATAATTAAGCCTATTTTTCTTTCATTTTTTTTTTTTAATTAAAAAAAGTACATGTACATTTTTGATCACAGTCTGACATCATTTAAGTAACTTCTTTTTTATTGAAAAGAAAGAATAGAAAATACTAATGCGACATTTTTACGAAGGGTACTCATAGAGTACAAATTATACGAAAAGTCCTTTAAAGTCTATATACAAACTGCGTCATGGAAGTTTTGAAAACAAAACTGTTCGCCGTGTTATTTCCCGTTGAATTCTTTTGCCTGGATTATGGGCGCATTCACTTTGGTGATCATTTCCCCTTCGTCCAGAGGTTCACCGTTCAGCTTGCGTAGGATGGACTGCAACGTCTTCCCTTTCGTTTCGGGCACACAGAAGAACGTGAAGAAAAAGAGGGCGATGCAGCAGAAGCCGAAGAAAAGGAAACAACCGTTAGTGCCGAGGAGAACGTTGAGCCAGGGGAACAGTTTCACCGAAGCGAAGGACAGAGATGTGCCAACGAGCTGTATCGTCGACGTGGCGATCCCGCGCACGTTAGGTGGAAACAGCTCGGCCATTATGATAAAAGGCACCGGCCCCGCTCCTAAAGAATAAGAAATCACGTGGAACGAGAGCGATACAACGGGAATCCAAGAAAACTCGGGCCCGAGCACATCTCGAAACCAGAAGTAAGTCCCTAGAGACAAAAGCGAAAGTGCCATGATGGAGTATGAAGTCATAAGTAGCACCCTCCGCCCTGCTTTATCCACTAAAATCGAAGAGGTGAAGGACGCGATACATTGCAAGGATCCGACAACAATGGCCGAATGATACGGAGAAATGCTGCTTCCCGACTCCTTAAAAATTGTCACGCTGTATGTCAGTATGGCGAGTATGCCACAGAATTGCTGCCCGGCTATGAATCCGAGGCTCAGAGCCATACCCTTTATCCTCCCTTTATTCTCGATCAAAGAGAAATAACTCGCTTTCTTTTGGCATACTCTGGTTTGGAAAGAAGTCAAATCTTTTTCGGTACGGACAATATCTCCTCCTCTGTACCACAGAAGTGACTTCTCGGCTGCGGTCTTCTTATTTTTCGTTAAGAGGTAGGCCGGAGAGTCAGGCATGAATAAGAAGAGAACAAAATAAATAACTGGGACTGCCAGGCAGACGCTCGTTAGAACGGTGTACGAAGTGAACGCTCCGACGATGTAGCAGAAAAGGCATCCGACGTTTAAAGAAAACATGAGGAAGGAACCCAAAGTTCCTCTGATCGCGTCGTCCGCGATCTCCGTGACGAACATGGGCGTGTTGATTATAGTCCCAGAACATCCGAGGCCAATGGCTACTCTGCCGACGTAGAGCCAGATTTTAGACGGCGCGAGGAGTATGATGAACCAGCCTACGGCGAATGGTACTGCGACGATCAGACCGGTGCACTTCCTGCCTAGCCAATCTGAAAGCCGTCCCCAGAATAAGGTTCCGGCGATGGCACCGATGAAATTGATAGATCCTGCCCAAGAAATCTCTTCTCTCGTTAGCTGCCCCACCGGCGACTCAGACGATTCCAGTAGCGGCTGCATAGGCGAAGTCCAGCCCAACATAGTCCCGATGCAGAAGGACGCCATATTAGCTGCAACAGAGAACCAAAAGATTTAAATGACATGTTATTGTTTTATTTCAATCTTGTGTTCTGTTTATCTAAAGAGTTTATGGGCAATTGTATGTGTGCCAGAATGAATTTTAAAACTAAAAAAAAAATGGATCCATTTTGTATCGCAAAAGGAATGCTAACTATTAGAAACGGTGATGATGCAAAGGATTGTGGATTGAAAAGTTTGTATTCGGTTTAATCTAGACTGTTTGGTCGTCCAACGCAAGGCAAACTATGCAGTATGTCTAGAGAATTGTCTGTCATATCATTCTGAATGGAATTCTGATCGTTTGTTCAGTCTAAGTCTTGGTAATGTGCAGTTCAAGTTAAGTTTATTGCCGCGATAAGCCTTGTTCCCACGGCGTGAGGCTGCTCGAGTCTGGTTTGAAGTGACATACCATAGGGACAAGTACGATAGAAGTACCTATCTGACATGGTTGGAAATGGGAATAGTGATATTAGTGAGCGTAACAGGGGACCAGATAAACGTTACCTGGTTCCTATGAAATAACATAACGTTTCTCAAAGCGTTACAGAGTGGTTTAAATGTTTAGCATTTCGTGAAGAAAATAAACATTTGTTAAGTAAATTTAGACGAATTCAGCAGTGTCTGCACATACATAAATGATATGTGGAATCTGTTTAATCGTCGGGTCTGCTCTTATCTTCTGTTTACAGGCCATTGTCTTTTTAGATCGTTAACCACGTCTATGTGAATTAACAGGACAATCGGCATAGCCAACGGTGCAGCCTTGCGTAGATATTAGCGGCTGGCTGTGGAAAAATGGACAAGTTGCGCTAATGTCACCTTGGCCGATTGTAAAAATGAATAGAAACGTTTTATTTAAACTTAACGAAGCAAGAGAGAGCTTTAACGCTTAATTGTTCGCTTGTCCAAATATGTTTTTGTCCTACGCGGGAGAAAACAGGAACTATAAAGTATAACAACTTGACTAGGAAAAAAAATTATATATTGACGAATAGAGACGTAAATCCACATAATTTAATTTTTCATCTTCGGAGTGGATTTCACGGAGAGTGGCTATTAAAATGAACCACTTTTATAAACCTCCCATACCTAGAGTCGACAAATATTTTTTTAATGAAAAGCAAATATTTGGCCGCTCTGTATTGCCATTGATGAAATCAGTTCAATGCTTTCAATATAATCTTTATCCGATTGATTTAAGCGGATAAAAAATTGTCCGGATACACTGGAACGACGAATCGCCGGGGGCGTACAACTACTTTCTAAATTAGGATCAATTGTTGCGACCCCAAACTTGCTACAATACAAACTTGGAAACCGTTGTTAATTAAAAACAGCCATTAGCACAATCCTGGGCTGTGTTTTTTCTCCCAAAGTGATGATTGATGGTTTGTTAATGATTTCTGCCGCGTTTTCATGTCCAGGTAAAGGACACGGGACGCATTTAAAAAGTCATTATTTTCTGGCAGAAGAGTCGATCGTAAGGTCGATAAAACCAAATATAAACAGTTATTTATTATTAACGAAGGGGAAAAAATCTTAGCAGAGTCACAGAATTAAATATTAACACACGGTTACCGTGATTTGTACGCCTGCTTTTAAAATTCGGGCCGTGTTGGTCCTTCATTTTGGGAGCGTGAAAAGTTGATCTGGCGAGAAGCCTAGATGGAAAAATAAAAAATTAAACCCGAAGAAACTTTTTCACAGTTTTCCTGTTTCTGCTACGCTTTTCGGAAGGGAACCGATTTTATTTACAAGTCTTGCTAATTTCAACTATGTAGGGCGTTTTGTACTCGTTTTGATTCGCTGCATACCTAATACTTGTTTGCAGGATTTTCAGCAGACCAAAATAAATTCATTTAGCACTCTTCTCAATTACTCTTCACCATTATTTTTTAAATCAAAACTTGAAGTTTACAGAATATATTGTAGTTCAGAGTAAAAAATAATATTTTGCAAAAAAAAAAATCAATTAATGTAATCTATCATGAAAAGCTCAACGTTCAAACTGTATTGTAAACTAATAAATAATTGTTCAAATGCCAAACATAATAAAAAAATATGACAAAATTTGTATAAAGTGAAATTGGGAGAAAGTGTTTACGGTGCAATAAAGGATTGTTGTGTAATTGAAGAAAGATACCGAGAGATCAACATCGGGCAGATTAAACTCACTATAATTATTCAAATAATGTTTCAACAAACAACAATTACTTCTCAGATAAGCCAAGACTATTATTTACCTCCTCGCATCCTTGTTGTTTGAAACTTAGTTCTTAGAGTGACAAGATCGATTTCATAAGATGTCGAGTCTTCACAGGGATTGTCCAAATTGACCGGTGGCATTATTGTCACGGCTATTCCGTATAGGGTAAGCGGTAAAGTACTTAAACTTTCTAAGTATCCGCCGGCCGTTACATGCGGATCGTTTGGCTGTCGGAATGGCTCCGGTTACTCCTGGTAACGGCGATCTCGGGGGTCCTCCCGGCCCATCCGCTCCGTCTCGGATTTATCGGATGCCACTTTGAAACTTAATTGCCCGTTTGGTAATTAACTTTGTTTTGTTGGCCGTTTTTTAGACCTCTGGTTCTAGAATTGTAGGAATATGAAAGAAAAAAGCACTTAAATGACTGTTAGAATATAAAATAAATACTCCCAAAGGGACGGTCGTATTTTATTGCTTATTTCAACCTATACGTATTTTATCTTTATATTAATTACAAACATACATATTTTAATATTTAAACCAAATTAAACGAGTTCATCAATTCAGTTTTAATAACAATTATTTAATTATGATAGTTAGAAATAAAATTTACTAAACACCGAAAAATCATTTAGTGATATATTAAAATTTCAAAGTTTTGCTCTTAGTAACCCATATAACCTTCTCTGGTATTGGGGTGGGCCTTAAGTCTCCTAGGCATCGAATAAATAAGCAACAGTCTTGTGAAAGAGATTCCCTTCTTCAAAAAAGAGCGGGTTGAAGTCAAATACGTCTGTTTACCAAGTCTACGGGATTCAATCAGGAGAACATCAATTCATTTTGATAATCCCTACGTCCATGAAGTAATGGGTGACAACTCGAACTACCGGGGTTCGAGCAATGGTAAGCATTACCATGCATTGACACGAAGTTGTCCCCAATAAAAAATCAGCTTCCAGAATAACTTCCTCGTACCTTAGTTCCATTCTGTATGGTAATCAGTTCGGTACGGGCGTGGAACCTTGATTCGACCACAAGACAGATCGTCTTTAGAAAGGCTGTGACTTGGTACATGTAGCAAAGTGTTGCACGTCTTCTCGACATACGTTTTACGGTCATCTGATTGCCTTAAACCAAACCGGCACACATCTATGGCAAGAACAGCCCCCAGCCCACCCTTTCTCGATGCTTCTCCAGCAGTAGAGAAACTGATGCGGGACATCTAGACACTAGCCTATTTTCCTGAAGCCTTCTGATGACTCTTTTGGAGTCAACCTTACATTATGGACCGTTTGAAGTTGACTAACTACCAAGAAAGCCGTTAAATGACTATTCTGTAGTTCGGTAAGAGCAATTAAATGATAGTTATAGTACATTACAGTCAGCCACTACCTTTTTTTTTCATTCAGACCCCCGGGCAATATTTTCTCTACTTAAAACCATGTTTTTTACTCAAATTAATTCGTTAGTTTATTAGTTAGTTTTATCAAAGAAAAACTTTAAAAAACTGATTAACTAACTCAACAAGTTGGCTCTGGAAAGTATGGATTTGGATTGGATTTAGATGTGCTCAAATCCGTACATGTTTATGTGCCAGCAGACACAAGAATCGCCCACCCTCGCGGTTGGCAGTCCGGGACAGACTTCAATCTTATCAGTCCAGTCATCGAGGTCTCAGGGGTTGTTGTCAACAGCAAGGTCAATTCAGCACCCAACGCATGCAGTTCCAAACCCATTCATACTCACGTTCATTCTTAAATACATTCACTCCTATTTATGTACATTCATTGAATTAGGGTCGTGAAGTACTCGATATTCCTCCATCATCCTGTACACATATTACATGACTAACCGAATTGAGGGATGATGGGCTACTCGATATTCCGCCATCGACCTTCTCACATCATACATTCACGCTAATATATACATTCACTCTCAGCAGAAGCTGGGTATAGACAACTATCATGGCATTACTATACATACTACCTCCCATAAATAAAACTATGATATTCACATATTTTGAAACTTATTATTTAACGTACACTGAAATTATGTTTACAGTTTAAAGGAGGTCGCGGGGCAATTTCCTCTTAAGACGCCTTATGGGGTTGTAGGGATGGGTTCTATCGGACAGGGCTTGGGCACAATGAAATTAAATTACCATACATATTTTGATCATATTGTTATCGAATTCATTGACCACGTCCAATCTGTTTTTCATTATTTTAATATTGAATTTTTTATTTACGAAATACTGTAATCAGACTCTGAAGTCATACTCGCATTTTGTGTATTAAATATTTTTGTTGAACAACTACTGGAAACCTAAGATATAAATACAGATCTTAAAACTACAGACCCATTGCTTGCGTTTTCATGAATGATGCCTTTTTAGTTAATTGATGAAAACACAATTATAGAAATTATTTACTTCGTTCTTTGGTCTGTAAGACGCGTTTTGGAATGTCGCTTTCTTCTGATGGTTGGTGGGTTTGTTATATTTCCTACCGTGGAGGTGACAATAGTCACTCATATGCAATCGACTACTCAAGATGCTGAAAAACGCTTCTAATAGACCGAAACAGCGAACATAGATGAACCAGGATAATTAGAAAATTTTTAAAGAAATGTTCAGTTTTGCATTTGTCTTATGAACACAAATTCAACCACAAAACCACATTTTCAAATAGTTGATAAATTTATACAATGTAAGGTCCAAAGTGAAATTGACCAAAACAGTGAGGATGTATATCAACTCAAATGCTTTAAGAAAAAAACAAGAGA